TTTTATGCCTATTTTAAAGGGGAGAAAACTAAGACTAAGAAGGTAAATAACTTAGGAGAGTCTCAAGTTAGAAAGTGTCAGAAGCCGGATTTCAACTCACATATTCCTTAGGTAAGGCAGCAAGGTGGCCCAGTAGATAGAGCGACTAGCTGTGTGACCCTGGGTGAGTCGCTTCATCCTGTTTGCCTCAGTTTCCTCATCTGTAAAATGAGCTGGAGAAGGAAATAGCCAACCCCTCTAGTACCTCTGCCAAAAGAGCCCCAAAAGGAATCACAAAGATTTGGACATGACTGAAACAAGTGAACAGCAGCAGCAAATTCCTTAGGTAGCTCAATGCATGGAGGGTTGGACTTGGAGTGAAGAAACTTTCTACCTGTGTGACCCTGGGCAAATCACCTGGCCTCTCTAAGCCTCAGTTTCCCCATCTGGAAAATGAAGATAGTAAAAGCCCCTACCTCCCAGGGCTGTTGTGTGGGTCCAACCAGATGGTCTGTATGAAGCGCCTTATAAATCTATACCAATGCTATTGTTTCCAATCCAATGATCTTCTCCATTCCACCAGGTGACTTTAGGTACTGTGGGCTTCTACACACATCTTGCCCTTTTTCTTTGGCTTTTATGCAATAATGATGACAAGGGAAAGGAAATGAAGGGAATAAGTATTTATTAAGCACCTACTATGTGCCAGGCAGTGTGCTAAACACTTTACAAATATTATCTCATTTGATCCTCACAACAACCCTGGGAGGTAGGAGCTGTGTTCAAATTCAGCCTCAGATACTTAGTAGCTGTGTGATCCTGGGCAAGTCCCTTAACCTCTGTTTGCCTTAATCCATTAAAGAAGGAAATGGCAATGCACTCCAGTATCTTTACCAAGAAAACTCCATGGATAGTATTGGCGTGCTGGGGGTTCACGGGGTCACTAAGAGTCAGACACAACTGGACAACAACAATTAATACACGAACTTGAGCAAGCCCCTTCCCTTCTCTGATCTTCCTTTTTTTAAAAAAAAATTTTGTATTATGGCAGGGAGTACACTAAAAAAATCTCTAACATTTCATCCATCTCTAAATCCTAAAATTTTAAGCTGGTTCGAGATACAAAGCATTTATGTGAGTGCAAGCATTATAACACACTGTCACTGGCTGATAACACAACAGAGTTTAGCACAGAGGAAATAATCAGCACCTGTGAAGAAAAATCTAGCCACCAAAAAGTCATTTGGTCTGGAGTCCCCAGATTTCCCTCCCAAGCCTCCCAGTCAGTGAGACACCCAGAAGCTCAGATGTTTATCCAAACTTGTGCTGAACTCTCTGCCTCTCTGTAAGCTGCTCCACTGAGCTGGAAACCTGGTAATAACAAGCTGTTCCATGAACCCTCCATTTGCTGGCTCCAGCTGGATGAAGAGTACATGAAGGAGAAGCGCCATTCTTTCCCAGGGAACCTCGGCCACCTTGTGTCCAGACCCAGCTGGAACCAAGAAATTGAGAGGCCCGAGAAACTAAGATGTAAGCTATCCAAAGAGCCTCAGACTCCTTTTTTTCAACCTCCAGGAAAGGTTTACATTTTAGGTATTGGATAACAATTTGGGTCCAGTTAACACAACCCTCCTGCAGCAAATCACACTCTCAAGTTCGCCAAGGACCCCAGCAAGTGAAGCTCTGGGGTGGCAAGGCCATTGCTGGCTATTTGATGAAATTTAAAACCTGGCTGAGGAAGATGGAAGTTGGCACAAGAATTGGAAAATTGTCTGCTACTCACTTAGGGTCCAATATCTGGTGCCGCTCTGGGTTATGTGACAAAGAGATTTTTTAAAAAGTACAATCACTCTTCTCTCCTTTCAATCAGGCACTAGTTACCACTGACAGCCAACAGCTGAAAGGGGACATTTTAACTAGTAGTGATCATCAGGTGGCTGTCTGCTGAAATCAAATTGGGATTGGTTTCCAGAAGAGCTAAATATTTTAGGCTGGCTGTCTTTGCCAACTCAACTCCAGAGCCACTGACTATTTAGAGACTTTAAAAACACAATTATAAGACCAGAGAGCCAGGCCTGGAAGGGACTTCAGGTGCCATCTAGTTAAACCCTTTCATTTTATAGGTGGGAAAACTGAGACTCAGGGAGGTTAAGTCATTTGCTCAAGGTCTCACAGGTAATTAGCATCTTATCCAAACTTTGTATATTCCCCAGCACCTAACAGTTATCTGTACACAGTGGGTGCTTAATACATATTTATTGTATTTGTAGCTGTTGTCTTATGCACTCTAATAGAATGTAAGCTTTTTGAGGACAGGGATTCTTGTTTTTCATCTTTGAGCACCTAGCATAATGTCTTACATATAGCAGGCATTTAATAAATATTCAATGGTTTGAATTGGTTGAATTAACTGAACAGATACATTGTTGTACTTTAAAAGAAAAGAAACAAACAACCCTCCCACCCCCACCCCCTGACTACTCAAGAGTTTTGACAGCCAAAATGCCTCTTGGATTACCTATAGAAGTGCTTCACAATACAAATATGAGTTCCTTAAATGCAGGAACTACTCCATTTTATTTTTGGATCCCCAGTACCAAGCACAGTACCTTGCACATGCTAGGTGTTTAATAATTATTTACTGAATGGAATGGAATGACTTGGGTGTTCACCTCAACGTATGCCTGATTTGAGGATATTACCTGAAAACAGATGCACATGACTGAAATGAACACTGAAGCAGATACTGTATGCTTCTAAAAGTCTAATGTGGCTTCCTGGGAAAAATCAGAGATGTGATGGGTTTCAAGAATATTCAGCAGATGTGGCAAGTGTGGAAAGAGTACAAACAGGTTCTAGAGTTGGTCAAGTCCCTTCTCTAATGTTTACTATCTATGTGATCTTAATTTAGCTTAACTTGGTTTCAGTTTTTTCTCTTGTAAAATCATGAGATTTGACTAGGCAGGCCATTGGGTCCAAGGGAGACAGAACTCAGTAATATTCCAAAAATTAATGAAAGGTTTCATGTGTTGAGCCTGCCTCCTTCTGCATTCTCTGGTCCTCTACTTCTTCATATGCTGCTTCATGTGAATAAAAGTTCATGGCCAGAAACCAGAAGCAAGTGCCATATTTTTTAAATGTCCCTTACTGAATTGTAGATCTGTCCAACTCCAGCCTGACAGAATATACAAGAACAAAATGGTCGGAAAGAGAATTCACTCGAGAACTACTATAATGCAAAAGGAGGTAGCACACTTTTGGTTTCTAGTCTCATGTGTCAAGGACTAAGAAAGTTGTGGCTACCCAAAGACCAGCCTAGCTAAGTTGAGAAAGGTTCATCACTAGAAGGTTAGCCACCAAATTGTGGATTTTTTGGCCACTGAAACTCATGAAACACCACTAAGCCATGGAGGGGTGCAGGGAATTATTGAGAGAAGTGATAATAGTTGGTTTTTGTATAGTACCAACAGCAATGAAATTATAGCTTTCTTAAAGTACTAGAGCAACAGAGGATTAAGGGGGAAAGAATAAGGTATGGTAGCATAGAATTATCGAGTTTACTAAGGGAAAGAGCTCATCTTCAGTTTAACTCTATCAAATCATGTCTCCTATCCTCTAGGAAGTTATATTCTCAACCCTGGCCTATTTCTATGTCTAGGCCGGTAGTCAAACCATGATCATTTGCCATGATAAAAACTTCTTCTAACAACTAGTTCAGAGACTTATTCTAAGTACAATGTGTATGTATGGTTATAGTGGTTCTGTGATAGTAATTTTGTGAATATTCCCTTCTGAGTTCTCTCTTCCATTATCTAGGATCAACTGACTTTTTCTGATTGAAAACCTGGTCCTCTCCCACTCCCCTTGAATCTCCCACTAAGTTTCCAGGTTCCTTAAGCTCTCAGCCCAGTTGCAGTGCTGGCAAAATATGGAGGTCCCTCACCCTTAAAATTAATTAATTATCCTTATGATATAATTATATTGTAATACCCTTATAATTATAACACCCTTAAATAGAATTAATTATCACATTTTACTGGTTCCAAATCTCTTAGTTCTACCTACTTGCTGATACACTCATGTAAGTGATTAAGCTCCTCAATTCAGGAAATATTTGCTAAAGACCTACTGTGTGCAGAATACTGGGTTAACAGACGATAACAAAGTTCAGATTACACATAGACACCTGACCTTGTTGAATAATAGTCCACTGGGGGAGAAAACAAGAATAACAACATTGGTTCACATTTCTAAAATGATTTAAGTTTAACAAAGTACTTTCCTACCAACTTTGTGAGGCCAGTAGTGTACATATGGCCCTCATTTAGGCATGAGTAAACAGAGAGACTAAAAGATCTGCCCATAATTACATAGCCTGCCAAGTTTTGAAGTTGGGACCCAAATTCAAGTCTTCTAACTCCATGTCTGCCTTCTCTCCACAGAGCCTCACAAATCCCATAGTCCTCGGTGGCAATATAGGAGTGATTCCCTAGAATTCAGGTTCACTGTGGGCTAGGGGTTAGTGGGGGAAGGGAACACTTTGTACATAAGTAATGGAGAACAGACAATCCCAATAAGGGGAGGGTCATGGCATTATAGCCAGACCCAGAAATACAGAAAGAAGGTTAAGGTGTCAGTTTCAGGAGCCACATCAGGCATCCAAATTCCTCTACTACAGTCTAGTTTTCTGAAATCCCACCAGAACTTTTCAGGGCTCCAGATTCTTCTTTTCCCACCCTAGAAATGAGAGACAATATTATCAGAGTTCCCCAGTCTAGCAATAGACACACACACACACACACACACCCTCTTTGGATAGAAAAAAATCCACATAAAATTCACTGTGTTAAGCTCACATGCCAGGGAAATCCCAAGAGAATTTAGACGTCTTGTGCCCCATAGTAGTTGATGGTAACCCAACATTAACCTGTATGATCTTGGGCATAAATAACTTCACCTTTTGGGGTCTCATTTTCCTCCTCTGAAATGAGGTTTGATCCTATGATTTCAGATTTTCCAAGACAGTTTTGATATCAAGAAAGACACTTTTAACAAGTATTTTTATTTTGATGAACATGGTCACTGCACCCATTTCCAGATTCCATGAGTACTTAGGCTTCAGGACCCCACAATGGCTGGCTTTTCTGGAGTATTGTGAAAGATTCAGGGATGCTGGATGCCCCCTGGTGGGCATAATTGTTAACTCCCATTGATAAATATAGTAATCTGCTGTCCAGAAAAAAAAAATATAGTGGAGTGAAACTTGCTGAGATCCAGTACTAACTCTGCCTGTGTGATTTTCAGGAAGGTTACTCACCCCCTCTGGGGTTTGGTTTCTTCATCTGAAAAATAACAGATTGGATTAGAAGACTTCTAAGGTCCCTTCTAGCTCAAAATCTACAATCCTACGATCTTGACCTTGAACCCCTATTTCTGGAACAGACAATAGGATCACAGATTTATAGCTGGGAGAAACCCTAGAAGTCATTTTGTTTCATCCAGTCATGGATTGAACAGGGATAACAAGAAGATGGGGAACAGTGTTCATTAGTGGGTTCCTAAGAAGCACATCATAATCTAATGAGTTCTATTACCAATCCAAAGCTTTGGTTGAGGGCATTTTAGCAAGGAAGGAAACAGGCGAGCTAAAGAAGGAAAATATCAAACAAAGAAGCTAGGGACATTGCAGCAATGTGGAAAATTCCCTGAAATGGGCAAATAACTTTTTGAGCACAGCAAAGTGCTCCATGAAAGAATCATAAAAAATAAAAAAAGGTGAAAAAGAGTTAAGCTCAGAAAAAGCAAAGGATGCTAGAGTACACACTAGTAGAAGGAATGATCTAGGGGGATGGACACTGACCAAATGGTGTTCATGAAGCTGTGACTCAATCAGATTAAGCTTGAACCAACATTCAATGAAGTCTTTCCTGATTCCCTTCTTCCCCTAATCACTCCACAACTGGATTTTCACCACTTAGAGAACACTTTGTTCAGAAATCTCTTACGCACTTGAGATCTCCTATTTCACATTATAATTTTTTACCTACAAGTTTAATTCCCTGTGAATACTGTAATTCCCTGTGAACTTGAAGACAGGTGTCCAAGCTCACAGCTTCATCATTCCAAGTGTGAAAAAAGAGGGAAAGAATGGCATGCCTAGCATGCTATGAACTGCTTGGGGCTATTCCTTTAGTCAGGCAAGTGATCATAGCCCTAATCACCTCTTACCTGCATGAGCCTTCCTTCTTATTTCTCCCCTCTCAAAGCCTCTAAAATGATATTCCAAAAGTGAATGTCTGAGCATGCTGCTCCCTTGCTCGGTAAACTCCAATGGCTCCTTATCATCTCTAAGATCAAATATAGGCTCTCCTTTTTGACATTTAAAGTCCTTCACAATTTGTCTGCGGCTTCCATTTCTAGCCTTATTATACATTCCTTTCTTGCCTTCTTCAGCTTGCCTCTTCAGTGTTCCTCATACAAGACATTCCTATCTCCTGTGCTCATATGCTGGCCATCCATTTATGCCTGTAATATAAGCCCTCCTTAAAATCTCTAGGTTTCTTTAAAGTTAAGCTTAAATACCATCTTATACATTGATCCTTGCCTGATTCCTCAAGCCGCTAGTGCCTCTCTCAAAAAATTTGCCTTGAATTATGTGTAGTATCCCTATAGGATGTAAGCACTCTAAGAATCCAGGGATTATTTGATTTTTGTCTTTTTTTTTGCCTCTGGGACCTATCACAGTGCCTGGGACACAGCAGCTACTTAGTAAAATCTTGTTAATGGGGATAGATGGATAGATGCAAGAATGGATGGATGGATAAATGCAGACATACCTCCTTGTCTGTTTCTTGTCCCTGTTCTGATTTTGAACCTCCCCTGTTCTTCACCAACCTGAGGCTTATTTTGTATTTATTTTCTTCATGCTTTGTATTTTACTTAAGAAGCTAACGATAGAAGCTAGTGTCCTCTCATAGACATGAATTCCTCAGTACTTATTTCCTGAGCCTCTGTGGAGCTATAAAACTATTACTGAAAGCTACCTCCTTTGGGGCAGCTGGGTGGTACAGTGGATAGAACACCAGGCCTGGAGTCACTTCACCCTGTTTACCTCAGTTTACTCATCTGTAAAATGAACTGGAGAAGGAAATGGCAAATCACTCCAGAATCTTTGCCAAGAAAACCCCAAATAGGGTCATGAAGAATCAGATACGACTGACCAACAGCTGTCTCTCCTTTTCCTAAATGATACGAAGAGAGGGAACAGAAGCCTCATATGAGGGAACTCCAACAGATGGTTCAAGAGAAGAGAGGAGTCAGACAGTCCAAGGCTGTCCCTCCCGGCTACTCTAGATCAGTAAACACACCGTGGTGGTTATAGGTGATGCTAAGATCTGTCTCCCATATCCTTTTGTGTAGTCTTGCCACCTCTTCCTAATCTCTTCTGCTTCTGTTAAGTCCCTACCATTTTTATCTTTTCTCATGCCCATAAAGAGGACATTGAGCTTGTTTGACCCCATCTCTGTTCTTTAGGAGTCTATTTTCTGTTTGTTTTCTCTTTTGCCACATGTTTTGAAATTAACAAGTTCCTCTAAGACAATGCAGTCATTCATTAAAGTGCTGGTTTGTGAATGTCAAGGGGTGGGGGGTGGGGGTAGAGTAGATGGTAAATACAGCCTAGAGGGAGGCCATGATCAGTGAGTTACATGAAGAGAGAGATCAATATATTTTATGACTGCTGGGAGATACTTCCTGAAATGAAATCATAGTCTCAGTAAAACAAAAGAAATTTTGATACATACTTTTATAGCTTCCCAGAATCAGAAAGAACCCATGAAACTGGACCTAAACACATATGAACCTAGGCATATATGAGCCAAGAAGCTTTGTTGGGATTGTGGAACTAAACCAAAGCTGGTGCAGAAAATGTGGCAGTGGTGCCTGTCTCTTTTCCCCCTTTTTCATTGTCCCTTCCATAGCAATTTTATTTCCCCTCCAAGGCAATTGGGGTTAAGTGACTTGCCTGGGGTCACAGAGCTAGTAAGTGTCAAGTGGCTGAGGCTGGATTTGAACTCCGGTCCTCCTGACTCCAGGGCCAGTCCACTGTGCCACCTAGCTGCCCCTCTATAGCAATTTTAAAAAGAAGACCCATTGAAGAAGAGAGAGCCAAGGGTATTAACTAGAGGAAAAGTCATGGGAGGAGCTGTGGAAAAGGGGCACTGCCCACATGACGGTATGGGCCTAAAAGAGGAGGTAACTATCTATGCTTTCCCATCTTTCACCTTCTCCCCCTCATACTAGAGGCATGGCATCTCCACTGCTAGAAATATTTATAATGTTATTCTTCCCTGACAATATAAGCTGCTCAGGAGAGAGTCCCTAATTCTTGATACCCTGACTTTTGTACCTAATCCATGAGAAAGCTAGGTCAATGGTTCAAGCTTTAGGACCCTGGGCCAAATAAGTCTCAAGGGTAGTTCCAATGCTTTAAGGAAAAAGTAGCCTGGGGCAGCTAGGTGGTGCAGTGGATAGAGCACTGGCCCTAAAGTAAGGAGGACCTGAGTGTCAAATCTGGCTTCAAACCAAACACTTGACACTTACTAGCTGTGTGACCCTGGGCAAGTCACTTAACCCCAATTGCCTAAACACACACACACACACACACACACACACACACACACACACACACACACACAAACTAGCCTAGCCACATAAGGAAGGGCCTTAGGAAAGGCTTACCCAATCTTAGGAAATGCTGCTCTTACTACATCTACTCCCATCCCCCAAGCCCAAGATGCATTAAGCAATCTCCTCTATCCTGAGGTATTCCTCATTCAGAATAGCCAGCACAATGCCAGGCTTGGCAGCTACCCTTACTGAGATGAATCCCAATAAAATTCAAGGTCCCCCTGCCATTTCAAGATGAGTGAGCGAAACAGCATATACTTACTTGCCTTCTTACTCTCCAGTTTCAACTCCCCAGACTCTCAAACTATCCATCTTTCCAACTGGCATTCTCCACCACCATGTGTGGGTAGCCCAGCAGTGAAGAAAAATGACTTTAACTTGTGACTTTTTAAGTGAGCTTGTCACAGATGAGAACTCTACAAAACATCATAATGTAATTATAAAGGCTTGGCTATGCCAAATTGATGTGTTAATGTATCAATAACTCATGCTACCCTGCGTAAATGACATTTTAACAGATGTTAGTACATACATGGGATAAATAGAGCAGTTTCATTAATGTCTGCCTTACTTGTTCTCAGAGAGATACAAGACTTTAATGTTGACACAGATTTTCTTTAAAGAAGTCATACTATTTATCCTCCATCCCTCAGTGGGGATACTTTTCCACTTAAAAATATTAAGGTAACATTGACAGCGGCTTGAGCAGCCTTAACAAATAACAACATAAAAATGTACAACTTATAAACTATGACTATTCTTGGGTCCTGTTGGATAACACTAACACCCAGTCTCATGTGATCTCATTTGGCTACTATGGGTCTGATGACAGTTACAAGAAAACTAATGGAGGTGTCCCATGTTCGGATACTTCCCACTATAGAATGAATGTCCTCACAATATTCATCAAAGAACCTTTTACACACAGAATAGTGACTTACACAGGGAGCCAGACGCCACCAAGGCCAACCATTAAATCACCCAAGCAAGGAGATCATAGGATCATAGGTGAAAAGATCTTAGGTATCACCTAGAGCAGAATAACCTGAAGTCTGTGAGCTTTTTTAAAAAACTATATTTTTTTAAAACTATATTTCAATACAGTTAATTTCCTTTGTAATCCTATACATTTTATTTTATGCATTTAAAAGCATCATGCTGAAGAGGGGTTCATGGTATGCAACAGACTTATAAAGGAGTCCAAGGATGCAAAAAAAAGGTTGAGAACTAGTCCGTACCTTTCAGAGGATCAGAGATGGGGAGCAGGAAGGGATCTGAGAGGTTACCTAGTTCAACCCCTTTCATTTTCCAGGTGAGAAAACTGAAGCCAAGAAAGATGAAATGCAAAGTAAGTGTCAAAGCCCAAATTTGAACCCAGGACCTTTGATTCCAAATCTAACACCTTTTCCATTGTACAACGAAATAAAATTGAATGCTCACAAGACAAGTCATGAAAAACAGTTCTAGCCATGAACAGATGCGCCAATATTAAATGCTCTTTTCAAAGGGCATGTTATTGTCACGGGTTGGGTTGCCCAAATGAAGATGAGAACTGAGAGCAAATTCTCCTGACTTCATTTAGTCAGTACCTGACTGGACTGGATAACACGGCTTCATCACCATTTTGTCCCCTACACTGGCACATGCTGTATGTGAGCCCAGCAGCCATTTTGGTTTGTATCATTTGTCAACATTTCATTCCCTGCCCCACCTCCCTCACCAAGTATACATATATACAGATACTATGACTGTAACATAAGAAAACACATGATAAACAGTATCGTAGGTGCTGTTGTTAACTGGCACCTCTCAGGGTCACTGACTCTTCCCATAGACTCATTTCTCTGACCCTTTGCCAAATTTTTCTCCACACTGAATAACTCACTGACCACAGCTTACTCTCTTGTCAACAAATCGCTTAAAAAGCAAACCACAAAACAGTTATTCAGCACTAACTTTGTGTTAGCCACTGGAGATACAAAGACAAAAATTAAATCATCTGTGTCTTCAAGTTTATATATACAGAGGCATCTAGGTAGAGCACGAGCTCTCGGGTCAGACCTGATTTCAAATCCAGTCTCAGACGCGTACTAGTTGTGTGACCATGGGCAAGTCACTTAACCCTCATTGCCTCTAAAAAAAAATGTTTACATATACAAAGGTAAGTAAATACAAGACAATATGAGGAAGGCAATCTTTCTAAAGCACAAGTCTGACCATTTCTCTCTCTCTCTCTCTCTCTCTCTCTCTCTCTCTCTCTCTCTCTCTCTCTCTCTCTCTCTCTCCCTCTGTCACACACACACACACACACACACACACACACACACACACACACACACACTTGCATACCACCCAAAAGCTTCCAATGGCTTCCAATGGCCTAGACCAGTGGTTTCCAAAGTGTGGCCAGAGGCCCCTGGGATGGTGATCTAATCCCAAGAAACTAAATCCTAACCTCGAGGAGTGTGTGATGAAACAGACAATAGAGAGTTGTGTTGCATTCCAACTCTGCAAGACAGTCAATCACAGACATTTTCTGAAAAACAACCCTACCTTCTCTGATTCCCCAACGCTCCACCATTCCGAAAAGTCCTTCCCGCTATACAAACTCCCAACTTTCTTTCTTCTGAGTCCTATATTGGTCCCTAGGGCAGTTATAAACTAACATCTCCCTGGAAACCCACAACAGCAACAGCAGCATAGGTTTGCCAGTGGAAAAATTCTGTACCTCTCCCCCAGGATACACAGCCTTACTCCCCCCAGATCACTTCACTGCTTTAGGCAATCACCCCTCTGAGAATGGGCTTTGTGCTCAAGCACAGTAAGAGACTCATCTAACCCACTTTCATTTTTGGTGGGACAGGATATGTTGCACAGGATAAACAGCGTGGATGGGTAGGGATTTTCATCATTGGCATCATTACATTATTTTTCCACCCAAAACCCAACCTTTTCCAAACTTCTCTATCACTGTTCACAATGTTGACCATATCTTAGACTCCTCACTTTCCCTCAACCTCCACAGCCAATCAGTAGACAAATCTTGTCATTTCTTCTTCCACAGTAGCACTTGTGTCTGTCCCCTTCTCTCTGCTCGAATGGCCACTAGCCTAGTTCAGGCTCCTACTGAAATAGCCTGCTAATTGAATCCCCTCCCTCAAGCAGCTCTCCTCTCCAATCAATTCTCCACACATCTGCTAAAGTGCCTTCCCCAAAATGCAAATCTGTCCATGTCACTCACCTACTTAACAAACTCCCTGTTGATTCTAGGATCAAATGTTATTTCATCTTCATCTCACAATTTTTAACTTCTATTTTACATATGTTCTATAATATACATAATTATTTGTAAGGTACTAAATCTTTATAACTTATGAATAAGGAAATATACATATATTGGGGAGGTCAAACATTTTTTACTGATAAAGGTACACAACCAAAAACATGTGGAGATCACTGGCCTAGGCAATCAAACATAAACTTTCTACCCTCATATGGCAGAATCCAAACTTCAAAGAACAAATCCCCTTAACAAAAGGATTTGTTCTGTAAAACTTGGACTTGGCCAAAAGGCCACACTCAAGGACCTAGAAGGCCACATGGGGCCTTGAGGACACAGGTTTACCACCCCTGGAATCCTTCTTCTGCTTAACAACCTTTCAGATATTAAAGATAAAACTATATCTCTCGCTAAATCTTTTCCACCTTCAGTCTAAATACCCCTGAGCCTTTCAACCAGTCCTCAAATGGGATAGACTCTACACCCTTCAGCATCCTGATTACCCTCCTCTGAAATCTTTCTAGTTCATCAATGTCCTTCCTAGGTTGTATTACCCAGAATTAAATAGGATGGACCAGATGTGTTCTGATCAGAGCAGGGCACACAATAGGAACATTAGGTCCTTAGTCCCTTACTTTATGCAGCCCCAGATTACATTCATTTTCTTGGCTTCCATGTCACACTATTGACTTGTATCAGTTTGTGTGTGTGTGTGTGTGTGTGTGTTGTTTTTTTTAGCATTTGTTTGAGGATGCAAAGAAAGGCAAAATTTATCAGTCTCTGCTCTCAAGGAACTCACAATCTTATGGAGGAAGACAATATTCAAATAAATAAATGAACAGAATACATTTTAGATAATCAACAGAGGGAAGACACTAGCATTAAAAGGGATTAGGAAAGGCTTCTTGTAGAAGGTAAAATTTTAACTGGGAATAGAAGGAAGACAAAATAGCTGGGGGTGGAGATGAAGGGGAAAACATTCTAGGCAACAGTCAGAGAAAATGCCTAGAGTTGGGAGGAGTGTCTAAAACAAGGAAAAGCAAGGAGACCAATGTCACTGGATCACAGAGAATATGGAGGGGAGTAAGGTGTAATAAGACTAGAAAGGTAGAAGATGGCCTGGTTATTAAGGGCTTTAAGCCAAATAAAAGATGTTATATTTGATCCCTGAGCTAACAGGGAACCACCGGAGTTTATTGAATAGGAGAATGACAAGGTCAGATCTGTACTTTGGGAAGATCAATTTGACAGCTGAGTGGAAGATGGATTGGATTTGCAGTTCATTGAAACCCCCAGATAATTTTCAAACTATTGTTTATCAGAGCTCCCAAATCTTGTACTTCTGAAGTTGTTTTTTTCTTAACCTAAATATAAGAATTTACAGTTATCCCATATTAGATTTCATTTTATTAGATTTAGCTCAGTTGTTCTAACTTGTTTTGTATCTTGTCTGTCATCCAATATGTTAGCTATTCCTCCTCGGGTTTGTATCTCTGCAAATTTGATAATCATGCCATCTATGCCTCTATCCCTCCCAGCTTGCTATCTTCTGTTTTGATAACCATGGCACATATATCTTTATCTTAATCACTAATTAAAATGTTAAGCATCACAGGGCCAAGCACAGACCCCTCGGTCTGTGGAAATCTCCACTGGAAACTTTCTTCCAAGCTGACATTCAATCACTGACTACTATGTGAATTCAGTCATTCAACTTGTTCCAAATCCCCCTAATCTGAACTACTACCTAGCCCATAGCAACCGAATTGAAAGATCACATTATCAGCTGAAGGAATCAAAGAAGTTTTCACAGAACCCACTTGAGTTGAGTCCCTTTACCCTCAAATAATAGCCAGACTCTGACTCTACCCCCATTTTGCTTAAAACCAACAGTTTAAAAAGTCCAGGAGAAATACAAGAGCTATAAGCTGCTCCATTTTCTAGCTGCTGCCTCAGTGGCCCTGCCAAGAACAGCAAAGCTGCTACCTGTCTCCCAACCAGTCCAACAGAATCTCAACATCCTGAAATTACAGTTTTAAGGGTACTAATTGAAACATTTTCTGACAATGCCATTGAGACCGTTTCTATATATGTTTTAAAACAACTGAACCACTGATTCAATTATCTGGATAGTGAGAGTCCCAAATCACGTTTGCCTGGAATATTTGTAGTAATTGTGGCCAAGAATTGATCTGCTCTGAAATGTCCAGACATTCACTGCCATTTCTCACATTGCTTTAGTCATGGAATCGACTTTGGTAGTGGCTACATTCGGGTCATTTCTCTGGCACTATTCAATTAACTAAATCATACACTTTTAAAGAATAATTATTTAATTGCAGTCACAGATACTGAGGGATTAACAGCCCACATAACAGCTGTATACTCCAAACCACAATTCATTTTTTAATAAGTGATTTTCAATATTCTGCCCATTAAGTACTGGTTTGCTTTAACTAAATACTGGATAGTCTGTGTCGACCTGTTACGACATTTTCACTGCCATCTAAAGCATCCCAAAGCAACACAGCAAACTTGACCCACTTGGGTAATTTAAAGAAAGTCCATCCTCTGTTGAGACCTGTTCTTTTCCAAATATCTTTACAAGGAAACTGTAAGATGTTCATTCCTATTTTTAATTCTGTTTTTTGTATACTGAAATGTTCATCAATTGATCAACCAAAAAGCATTTATGAAGTACCTACTTTGTGTCAAACATTTTATTGGCGCTAAGCATACAAAGGCAAAAATGAAATAGTCCCTGCTTTTGAGGAGGTAATGTAAGAACCTATATTATACCTATGTACCTATATTAGAGCTATGTAAATTTAGGCATACATGTATGTATAAATTTAGACAGAATAAATACAAGGCAGTTTAAGCAGAGAGAGGACTAGTAGTTGGTGGGATGAGGAAAGACTTGACATGGTAAGTATATATAAATACATATATTTATATTTATATATGATCTCATTAGAGATAATAATTAAAAC